GGGATATATATTAAAAAACACTTTTTTTGTAGCAAATTTCACCCATTTGTTTTTTTCTCATTGAAGAAAATTGAACATGAGAAATACGATTACCTCATTTCTCGTTGTAAGATGTCCAACTCAACCCTTTCCATGAAAAAAAAAAAAAAAAAAAAAAAAGGGTAGACCAGGTAGTATTGCTATTTTGCCCGTCTTAAAGTCGGTAGGCGGTGCCGGATCTTGGTAAAAGATAGAAGTCTGAACTCCCTCCTGTTTAGGTCACGGAACTTTCTAGAAGGGATGATTTATGTGCAGTAGAAAGTATCGGACGCAAGTGTGCTCTTCTAGGTTGTGGCGGTTGCTGCTGTTGCCACGGATGCAGTCGAAATGCTGTGTAATTACTTAGAGTAACAAACAAATAAAACGGACGGTAGTTAGACCTTTTTTTTTTAAGAAGAAGACAGTTGATTGTCTCGACTTCTCTTTTCCACCCATTGCTAAAAGAATCTTGTCTGAAATTTTTTGTTGTTGGTAGTTTCTCTTGGGGTTTTTGCTGTCATAGAGTGAGTCTTATGGGATGAAGCTTTGGTTGCTGAAGTTACTGGTTTTTCTGGAAATGGCGTCTGCGATATTTTTATGTATAACTCTTGTCAACGCTGATAAGATCTTCATTCCTGCGGCATTCTAGTTTTGTCCTTTGCTTGTCTTCTTCGGCGATGCATTGTAAGCTCTTAATTTTGGACAGCATTTTTCGATGCCAATGGGCTCGTTTTATTTCTTTAATCCTTTTTTTCGGCCATCCTATTTCTGCTTAGATTTAATTAAAATTTATGTTATTATTTTTTGGAACGTGTCTGTTTAGGATAGTCCGTCTTTCAGGTCTTTGTGCGCTATAAATATTTTAATTAATGTTTCTATAATTAAATATGGATTTTTAACTAGTTGATTAGATAGCAGATCACAGTATTGCAGTCTTTATATTATAGAACAATTCTGATTTTGTATAAGACAATGTGACCTAGTAAATAATTACCTTGTCAATATTCAGTAACAGTTATGAAACAAAGAAGCGTATGTATGTTTTGTTAGGTTAGGTTAGGTTATCTGAATATGGCAAAACGCACGAGGGCTATCTGCCTCAGGAGACGGATACCTTCATGAAGGACCTTTTAAAGAAAACTGGCTCCTATTGACGTTACACATGGGGGAAAAACATGGAAACCAACAATGCACTGAATTCGTTTGCTTGGGTTCGAATCCTGGTCGAGCTACCAGCATTCAGGGGCATTAATCACTCGGCCACTGGTGGGTCGATATGTACGAGACATTTTAATATATACAGGGTGATTCAAAAATGTCTGGCAAAGATGTAAAGGCAGGTAAAACAACCGAAATTAGTAAATTTTATAACTGAATGAATGTGTGGATGTGACGTGTTTGACGGATGTAGGTTAAAACGTCCTGCTGGCGTAAATCATTATTCCCTGCGTGAATTTCGAGCGGTGTACGTCGTTACACAAATACGTAGCTCGACGGTATGCATTTTATCCATAGAACTGTGCAGGGAAACGCAGCGGCTTCCCAAAGGAGGTTCTCGCAAATTGTTCATTTTATCTCCTCTGAACAGCTACTCTGCTTTAGCCGTGGTCCTTTAGATAAAATGCGAATTGGCAAGCTCCGCTTACGTGTAGCGATGCATATCACTGAGAATTCGCTCGAGAAATGACGATTTGCTCAAACAGAATGCTCTTAGCTACCACTCAACAACCCCCTCTGCCACCTCAATGCGCCATTTCCACATCATATTCCGTAATTAAATTTATTTCTTTTGGTCCCTTCTACCTGCTTTTTTTTTTCCCCTATATATATTTTTGAATTAGCTTGTAGATATACGTTATTTAAGCCTGTCTTATATAACTAAGTTATGTACTGTATAACCAAGTTATGTCTTATTTAATCAATTACATTGTTCAGAATCTTTGTTGAATTGTCAAGAATAATGTTCAGCGTAATTGTTGCAAAGAATATATAGTGTATTAAGTGTGGCATTGAGTTGTAAATGTGCCTTAACCCCTTCGCGCCGACTGTCACGTATACGTGCCAGCAACGAACGCACTTACCTACCGGCTGACACGCAGGCGTGCCAGAGGATTGTTCCATTCTCTACCGACTGTCACGTATTTGTGCCAGTACTTTGGAACGTTTTTCAAACTATAATTTCTGCCACAAGATGGCACTGTGTGTCCATATGGTTTCAGTTACATTAGACCTTCTACTCGAAATGAGAGAAGCATGACTCACATACACGTGTTTTTTGATTATATAAACAAACGGGGAAATAAATGTTTCCGAATGGCGTGATTTTATGACGTCTCTTTAAATCGCACTTTATTCGCACACGTGTTTACTATAAGTAGAAGTTTTATTTGCTCTAAAGCGTTGGGTATTTCGGTTTGCAGTTCAGTTTTTAGAAAATAATTAGATCTTGTTAGACGTGAATTCTTTTGTTTTTACCGTTGCAATGTCGAAGCGTCGAAAATTTTAACAGAGCATGAAATAGCAGAATGATGCAAAATATTTCAGATATTGATTCTGAAATTCTGATATTCTGATATTGATTCTGAAAGATTAACTGAAAGACATTTTCCAAACTTTGTTCAGAAGAGACTGATAAGAAAATGAGATGACGATGCTTCGTTTGTTCACATTCCCGAAAAATCCTCCAAAACGGCAATGAGTTATTATGAGTGCAAGAATGTAACGTAGGACAGTGTGTAGATCCCTGTTTTCAAATTTTTCATACGAAAAGAGAATTTTAAATAATATATTTAGTTTTCAGATGTATAATGTTAAAATTCATAAAATGGTGAGTAATTAAAATAAAATGTGTAAAATATGCATTTAAACAAGAAATAAGGTAATTAAAGTATATATATAAAAATATTTATAAAGCATAAGCCGTTTAAATACTCTATAGAGCATTATTAAACAATGTCGTTGATACTTCGGAAAATTTCGTGGATTTAGGCTTAGTAGCAAAAAAGCCCCCGGCCCTGGAGAGACGCTCGCGTAAGACACTGCCGGCCTCAGCGATAAGCGCGCGTTTTCGCTACCCGGCTCGAAGGGGTTAAGTACAGTGCAATGATCAACGCAGTGCATATTATGAAATGTGTAGTGTAGCGAGTATGTGTAGCGATGTGTTAACATGCGATGTAGCCAGGAAAATGTTTAATTCGCATGCAGAAAAATCTATATTTTGCCCTTGTATGGCCATGTAGTTTGCTCTTGTGTGGCCATGTAGTTTGCCCTTGTGTGGCCATGTAGTTTGCCCTTGTGAGGCCATCTAGTTTGCCCTTGTGTGGCCATGTAGTTTGCCCTTGTGTGGCCATGTAGTTTGCCCTTGTGTGGCCATGTAGTTTGCCCTTGTATTGTTTTCGGAGTGTAGCTTCAGATAGTTTCGGGATCCGGACGATACCCAATTAGTCTATGTAAGCCGTCCGGGTGTCCGGACCGCGTAATGGCAAACCGCACATTGAGTTGATCAGTGTTAACGAATTTCGTTTACTGCGCATGCTCAGTGGTGTACCGTTGGTGTGGCAAGGAAATGCTGGAGACTAAGCATAAGCAACCGTTACACAAGCCTGTTCATCATGTAGGTCTTATCGACTATTTACAATTACAATACTACCGAAATTTATTTATGCTTAATGCATTTGCTTCTGTTTCATTTCATTTTGGTTTATTTTGTTCATAAACATTATATTTAATATCAGTTATTTATAATAATTTCCTTGACTTTAATTCAGTAATTTAAACTGCGAACTGTTTACGCCCAGATAACAGAACCACACACCGCATTTATCTTCTTTTAAAATTGTACCAAAGTCGTAATTACGCCAAATTCTCTTCTGGGCATGCGCAATATGCGAAATTCGTTTAACATTGATTAACTGAATGTGCAGTTTGCCATTATGCGTCCGGACCTGCTTTTACCTGTCACCTGTAGATATACGTACTAACCTAGAATTCTAAAAAAAAAAAGTCCTTACCTAACAATAAATGAATTTAATTACGCAATATTAAATCATCTTTTACACAACAATAAAAAGTTCAATAGCTAATTTTTTTAATGTTGAGTTTCTCAAAAATATACCTTTTTCCCATGCCCTTGTTGATTTGACCATTTTTTTAATATTGTATGTGAGCCTTTGTATATTCCTATATTTTTTAAAGCTTCATAGATGAAACTTTGTAATTTGTGAATTTTAAGAATTACTTGATTTGAAATAATATAATTTCTAAAACTTGAATTTTTCTAATCATATTCTAAATGGATTCAGCATTAGCACATCCCGAAGTTCAAAGTTCCAAGCAACAAGAGATTCTAAATATTTTTATTTTTTTTACTCATTCCACGATATGAAATAAATCGAGCGTTAGTTTCCTTGTAAACATCTTCTGTTCTCTGGAAAAAGAGAATTTATATGCTCCAGGGAAAGAAAGTCCTCATCCTTCCACCCTGTTTTGAGAATAATTTGGTTCGAATGGCGCATGCGTGTTTGCATTCATGGTCGCAGATGAGGCGGCTGAACTATATCACCAATTCTAATAACTTCTGTAACTTTATTTTAAATAAGAGTCAATAATCTCATATTATTTTTAAATCTTTTGCAGTAGGTAAACAGACACAGCTAAGTATGGCATCTAATATTGAGAGATCGCTGTCAATATTAAGGTCATTACTCTTTCTGCTGTATCAGTCATCCATACTCGCGCTTATTCTTATCCCTTTTGATTTCCTTCTCCATTCAGATGCTTCTGGAATGAGAAAGAGATATTGGAAAGTAAATTTTAAAGAGACTAACTTGTTAGCAAAATTGTAAAATCTTATAAGTTTGTTTTTCCATGAGTTATTAATTTTTTTTTTTTTGTTAATGCCTTGACTAAAAATCTCCTATTATTTTTAACAATCCTTAACGGAATAGTTTTTTTAATTTAATTATTTCTTCTGTATTTTGTAGATGATCCAAGCTGCCAAAAACTACCAAAATGGACATACTGGTCAGCTCTCTGCTATTACAGTATTCTTGCTGTTTCTGGGAGGTTTGGCAAGAATCTTCACTTCTATTCAAGAGACAGGTGATCCAGTTATAATATTTACCTTCATCATGGCTTCCTTATCCAATGGTATACTTGCTGCTCAAGTCCTTTATTACTGGAAAGCGACTTCTGAGATTCTTATGAAGGCTGATAAAAAGAAGCTATAAAGCTGGTTGCTTGCTGGAAATTCACTGTGATGATATCCTGACAATCTCCATTCCATATTTGATGTCAGTTTACTTTTACAGAAGATATCTCGTGACATTTTATTGATGTTTTAATTATTGCTCTAAAATAATAAATTTCCAGTATTCAGTTTAAATCGAAGTAATTGATTATGGTAAATTTTTAAAAATAAATTAAGAATCTTTTATTTCAAAATATTTTAATTGAAGCATTTACAGTGTGGACTAGCTTGTGGACCAGCTAATCAAACTGAAAATAGTCTTAAAGTCGTAACAAGATTATATTTTTGCAGTTAGTCTTAGTAAGATTATATTTTTGACAAAGTGTGCATATTCAGTATAATTTAAAGATCCGCTTGCAAATGTAAAATGAAATGTAAATTATATAGCATATTAATGTAAAGGCAAGGCATCGTAAGTACCATTATCAGTATCTTTTGACTGATATATATATATATTGTTTCAAAAGAAAAAATAGTAAAGTTAAATTAAAAAATTCTCTTGCGCCATTGCTGCAAGGAATGAAATTCAAATATATATATATATATATTATGTGAAAAGAAGTCTATGGATTAGTATCCTACAAAATTTGTAAAATCAAACAGAAACGCTATTCAGTTTTATTTTTTATCGCTAGATTATTGTTTTCATATCTGAGATAATGTGTTTAATACTGTAAATCATGCTGCTCTAAAAGGTATAATCATCTTACAACTTGTGAGAATTATATAATAGTTCTCATGCATCCATATGAAAATATATGTAAAATTATTTGAAGTGATAATACATCATGTAATAAATATCTGCTTTTTGAAAGCAGAGCTCTGACTTTTGAAGTTACAATGTGGTCTTCAAAATACTACTATAACGTAAATTTTTTTAGAAAAAAAGAGTCTGTGCCATATAACTGTTATATACTAAACACATACCATGCATTCATTTAAAGCTCGTATGCTTGCATTACATTTCTAACTAATGCAAACTAACATCCTTATGTAATTAACCAGTTTTGCATGTGGTTGCATTACACGTGTAGCATATACATAAAACAGAAATGTGACATTGAGTGAAAACAGGCTTATGAATATGTTACTGTTGCATCACTTATTAATGGTTATGTTTTATTAACATTTGGTTTTGGTCTATTATTAATAAATATCTTATGTTTCAATAATATTATAACTTTTTCTGGGTATAAAACAAATATAAGATGCTGCATTAAGTTTGTATGAAAATTGAAATTACTTACTGTTCTTTTTATGCAAGACTTTTAGGCCTAGTGAGAAAAGTTGTTGAAATATCAAGTATTCCTAATTAGAATTAATTTTATTACTCCCCTTCCTCCTCCCTCAGAAAAATTCTACTTAATTCTTCTAATTGGATTTATATTTAGTTGTATAGAAAAATCATAAATCAGACAATTTTTATTTTTCTATAATTCACAGATTTTTGCCCTCTAGTGATCTATCACACTTTAAGATTCACTTAATACTAGTAAACATTTTATGAATTTATATGTAATTTAAGCCATGCATATTATTATTACATAAAAAGTATTTAATATTATAAGTTTCATTAGAATCTCAACTATGTTAAAAAAGCTGACAATTGTGCCCGTATTAATGCTGCCAGAACATTTCCGTGTGTCATTTTTAATACAAATATGCATTTGTAAATAATCTGCATTAAATTATACTACGTATAAATTACTTTATGCTTGCTTTAATGAACAATATGCTAGTTTCATAATTTCTTTGTTTGAATTATAAGTAATTAATTATTTTGTGCAGCTATAGTACATTTTTATGACTGATGACATTTTTCTTTAGATTAAAAATTATGCTACTTAAGTTAGGCTTAAAATTGGGTACATTTCATTCTGTTTAACTGTATATGTTGCTCATTCTATTAAGGTTGGTAATAATTTATAGAATGTAAAATGTTATTTAATATTTTAAATCTCTAATAAATACATAAGTTTTATTTGACATTTTAATCTTTTTTGATGGCATTAAATATTTGTATGACTGTAAGTGTAAAAATGTTTATGAATACTTTTCTAGTTTGTAGCTGGAGAATTTTGTATGTGAATTCATTGGAATAAAGTATGGTTTTATACAGTTTTGCTGTTATTCATTTCTAACATTTTTTTAAGTTTAAACAAATTAATTAATTAATTGGAATGACTCTTATTTAGTATTGAACTTTGAATTGTGTGACAGAAAATTTTGATTAATTGCAAAATTTTTGGTTGAAATACACATTTTTCAGTGTAAGCTAATTGATGCTATGTTGTTGTTGCTACATGATTATGGAAACATATTTTGTAGATACAGTTCCTTTTATGCTAGAGTGTTAAAGTTTGAAAAGTCCTTGATAAGGTAATAAAAGTGATTTCAGTGATATTTATAAAACCAATTAAAATTTTTACATAAATAGCCACCTTAAATAGTTTTATAAGGAAGTATATGTAATGATTTTTAATAAATTCAACTAATTTTGTAATTCTGTAATTTCACGCGTCCAGCTAGTAATAAAGAGTAATAGCGATGGAAGAACAAAGTTTACTGCTTTTAAAATCGCCTAGTTTGTTAATCAATAACAGACTGATTAAATTCGAAAGAAAACTCTTTCGCTTTTCCAAATGGCAACACATTATTGCGTGGAAAATAAAAAAAATATTTTATTTCGAACAGCGGCAACTCATTTCTGTTAAATAACTTGATTTTTCACGGGCACGACGATTAAACCTCTAAATAACGTAAAAAAAAAAGGTTATTTTTGCAAATTTGACAAACCACAGGATATTGTAAGAGTCTTTATTTATTTATTTATTTAAACATTGTTAAAAAGTGTTGATAATAATTTTTAATTTACCGAGGAGCTGGTTTAATGGCTCCAGAATACCATTCGTAACAGCGATCCGTTTTATTTACTGTTGAACAGAGGAATTAACGTCGTTTAATTGGTGCAATAAACAGCTCAACACCTTAACAGTTAAGGTAAAAATCTAATCTATCAAAATACCACGATTGACTGGAGCAATTTTAATGAGAGAGGTTTGTTTCCTAGATTTACTTCGACAACCTAAAGAACGAGTAGTTGGCACTGAAAAAATAGTCGAAAATGACGAGAATTTTTGAAAGGATCGATGATATATTCAAACTGTTCGCAAGACCATTCCGCCCCCCAATGGCGGGCACTTGCCTATAACGTCATTGGCCTTTACTAAGGCCAGAAGTGGTGGCCATTTTGTTGTGGAGGCACCTAAGGCCCATATCATAATAAGGCCAGAAGTGGTGGCCATTTTGTTGTGGAGGCACCTAAGGCCCATATCACACACGCATTTGTTTCATACGAACAACTGTTTTGGAGAATTTTTCTGCCTGGTTTCCTATTGAAAGAAAGACTCGCGATTTTTTCCATCTTTTGGAAAAAAATTTCAATTTGTTCGTTTTCAACAAATCAGCGACCAATAGTAAAAATACATAATTAGAGTAAATATCGATATTGATAAATTTTTAAATAATACCACTATTACTATAATGGTTTGAAGAATAATAAATCGCAAAAGTTTAAATAATAAATTGCAAAAATGGTTTACAGCACCTAGGGGGTTACCGGCGACCCCCCGAAGAATGCATTAAACGCTATTATATAACTCATCTTCTGTAGCTAATATTTCAACATGATATGCATTGCAAAATAAAAAATTCATATTGAGCAATGGGTAACCACCTAAAGGGAGCGCGGCAGTCAGCGTGTTAATATGAGCCAGTTGCCCATAGATTTGTTTATGACTGGCAACTAGCCATTTTAGGCTTTGGCCAATACTAACAAGCGGTGGCCGTTTTATTATGGGGACACCTAATAGGCGATCATCGTTACCTCCTATGAAGGGACAGACAGTTTACATCCTTTCCCCCTCCGGGATTTAAACCAAGGTCTTTCGGACAGCAGTCAGAGTTTCCTTTAGATAGTCGTCCATGAAGACATTCATCCCCTTAAACAGATAGTCCTCCTGTGCTTTGCCATATTCAAATAACCCTAACATAACCTTTAGGTCAGCTTATATTTCATTTACTACATGTGAAACAAATTTATGTTTGCTTTATTGCAATAAACGATAAATAGACTATCACCTGCGTAAATTTTATGCGCTTATAATTAAAACAAATGATCTGGGAAATTTATGATCCTTTTTTACTTCCTCGTACGAAGTAAAAAGGAAGTATAGTAATCGCGAAAAGTTTCAGGCAGCATATTTCAACGAAAATATCCATTTTGACCGCTATCGAATGCAATTTAACGATGTTTTTGCGTGATATCTGTACGTAAGGACAGAATAAAATACTCTTTTCCTTCAAAAAAGCTATAAAACTGCTTTAAAATTAATTCTGAAGAGAATTTTTCGTGGCGTCTGTATCTCGCATAACTCAAAAACGAGTAGCCTCAGAACGTTGAAATTTTGTATATAGGACTGCTATAACATGTAGATGTGCACCTCGTATTTTGGTTGCAATCGGCCGCACCAAACGTATATAAATATATTTATATATATATCCACTCTGTTACCCGGCTCAGTGATCTCAGTTTCTTTACTCTTATATGTTTGTAAATTGTACATTTTTTGCTTTAAAAATGATTGTATTATGTTGTTTTTATCTTCCAGTTAAGGTTTTTATGCCTTTAGTAAATCTGTATGCAATATTTTTAGAATTATCAACAATTTTAAAGTTGTCTAAGTGCCGCTAAGCCTTTTTTTTTTTATGGCGGCCATTGATGTTTACATTTGAAACAGCATACTGGTGGATTTGTTGCCAATCTAGAGAAACGTAGCTTCCCAATAACAAAGATAACGCCATTCATTTATTATTGCCAAATTAAATCATGCTTAATTCTTTCCTGGAATTTTTCGAGGAAATAAGTGTTTAAGATTTACTTCGTAATTTTTAATAGAGATATTTTGAGTTTTTATGTATTTTTGTCTTGCTCGCGAACGTGAGAACTGAATTAATTGAATGAGAAATCCTCAATCGTCTGTTTTTTGCTTTGTTTGCTTGATTTCTTTTATACATCGTTCTAGCTTTATTATAGTATTTGAATAGAACATATGGCAACGATTAGATAATTCTATTCTTTAAATGATATAAATTTTGTGCATTGAGTTATAGTATGAACGAAATATATAAGTTAACTGTTATATAATTATTGGATTATATAACAGTTTAATCCAATAAGTTTAAATGAAATGCAAGAAAAAGTGCGTATAATTTAATATTCCGTACAAGGAACTCATGTGGTGTACACATCAGATTTTTTTTATTTTCAAATTACTCTAAATCTTAATATATTTTCTGTCTGATTCTAGAAAATCGTATTTTTAGTCACTTAGCTGAGGATCGACGCAAATACAAATTAGGTTTTTTAAACGTGCGCTTAAACTTCACTTGGAGTTCTAACGGCGCAGATGTTCATTTGAGGTGTGCTTTGAGGTAGCAAGGTGGAATTCGAGTTTTTCGCCGTTCTTCAGCCTTCGTGACGTCTGAAAGAAGAAAATAAATGAAGTTCGGTCAAGATATCGTGATTTCTAGACGGAAGATGTACGACAACAAGTCTACAGAATACAATCTACTAAATTTTAATGAAGGAACATACAGGCGTGTGGTTCTTCGAGTACGAAGCTGCAGGGCAGTTGGTGAGTCAATATATTTCTATATCTTTTGTGATTACGTAATGTAATTTACAGTGCTTAAGACAAAGAAGCATGTAGCTAAAACTAAGTTACCTGCACTAAGAAAAAAACTGTGAGTTACGACTGTGCTGATTATGCTCAGTTAGAACTTTTTAAATCTACATTAAGTAATTTAATGTCTGAAATTTTGAGTATTTTTAGTAACATTTTTGTAGTTTGTAAAAGAAAAGATACTGCATGAGTTTATTGAAGAACAAGGTAAGCAAGTTGCTATTGATGAGTTATTTTTAATGCTATCCATAGTTAATGTTAAGAATGTCAAAGTTGTCAGTGTGGAGGTTAAAACATCGAGCATTCTCTTTCCTAATGTAACTCTTCCTATATTTAGAGGTAGTGCTGCAGAATCATTAAGTGACTTAATTAAAACGGCGATAGTCGATAATGACAAATTATTGTGTGCACAAAAATTCCAATATTTAAAATGTTCTCTAGAGGGAGACGCGCTCATTGTCATTGTTCATTTTTTAACTATTTGTGATAGAAATTTTAAAATGCGTGGAATTTACTGCGTCCAAGATTTTCACATAAGACACATTTACTTTCATCATTATGATAGAAAATCTTATATTTATCAAATTTACAAACTGAAAATCCCAGTCAACAATTCGCTTTCGTAGATACCATGAGAGGGCTAATCTTTGGAATTTATGGTAACAGGTAGTTTGGCGACATTTTGGAGGCGATAAAGGTTACTACCTAGGACTTTGGGAATAATGTGAGAAGTACTCAGTTCCGATTACGCATTATTTTGTGTGAGGGAAATGAGAGATCATGAGATATGTCATGTGACATTAATGAACGAATTACAGTTCTTTAATCGGAAAAGGGGGTAAATTTGGAAAAATATCTGTAGTACTATATTATTTTGTATTAAGCTCCATTGTGTGTTGTGTGAAAGAGTGGGCTAATCTTTGGAATATGGTAACAGGTAGTTTGGCGACATTTTGGTAAGGCGATAAAGGTTACTAGCTAGGACTTTAGCAGTGTACATGGATAAAGTCAAGTCAAGAATGTGCGCAATGCCATTTTTGTGCAATTCTGGGATGATTTTTTAAGTGAAAATAGGTCGACGTGTACATAGATGATACCGTGTATGTGCAATTCTTAAAAACGCGGCAAGCAGTGGGCGATTCTGCACTTTTTGCCAATTTCGCACCTAATCTTCGCCGTGATTAAGCACTTTCGTTCCATAAAAGTTCTAGCATAAGCGTAATTCGGCTAGCAGATTGTTGGAAAAAAATGAGTAAAAAAAACAACCAAAAAAAAAAAAAAATAAAAGCCTTTACTTCGTGAAAACAAAATGGCGTCGAAAAAAGAACTAGCAGGTTGCTGTAGCAGGGCTGGTCGCCAAAAAATCGCCGAGTTA